GCCGGAACCGCCAGCCAGAATTTTGAAATCACACCGTTCCCGTTTGCGAGCCGCCGCGGAGCCACCTGGCCGGTGAATCATTATCCGATTATCTATCGCGCGGTAATTCCCGTGTTGGTGACGCGTGATTTACAGCGATTGTTGGCCCTGGCTGTTGACGAGATGCTCAGCTGCGTGCTGGCCGTGTGCGCGTTGGGTTATGCTGCATTTGGGACCGCGTGCCTCGGAACAGGCACAAGCTCCCGCGATGCCTATTTGCAGGTTTAACTGTTGGGATAATAACGAGCATAAAATAATAATCCAGATGTGTTCCATTATTCACCGCAGCACGGGTCATTTATACATGAGGCTACCTTGCTGATGCCTCGTGGATTTTTGTGAACATGGTTTTGCTGTTTTGTTCCGTGTGCCTGGACACACGAGGTAAATGAGAGGCGATCATTAATACCATACATCATTATTTACCAGGAATGTCTCAGCGCCATGTCCCCCACACCACCATCACCGTGCGTGTACAAACACACACACACACAAACACGCAGTTTTTCCATCAGACATCACCAGTGAATCATTTTCTCACTCAGACACTGTATTAATAAAAATAAATGTGTGTCAGATTCCCGAGGGGTATTCCGTAGCAAATACAATTATTCCTTTGCCAATCAACTGCTGGATAAATGCTCCCCACACCACGTCGTATCATGGAGGTTATGTTAGACCATACTTCACCAATCTGGTCAGTGTCCGTGTGGGTTGATGACGGGGCTTGTAGAAGAGGGTTACTACCCACAACTTGTTCAGATATAGCTCACCACCGATGCCAGCCTCGGCTGGGAATTGAACTCAGTGTTTTTTTTTTACCGGGTTCATGTGTCTTGTTTATGTTTTTGCGACCTCGCACTGCCCCGGAGCAGACCCCGACGCGAACGAGCCACGCGACGCCCTGCTACGTCGGCCCCACCATGAACCAGCGAAGAGGCGACTGGGGGCTTTGTTTCCAGGAGTGGCTCTTGTGCGGAAAGCATCCACGCTCCCCGGCAGCGCAATCTGTCAGCAGGTACCGTGCTTCGTCCGCCTCGTTCAAGACGAAGCGCGGTTGTCAGCCACGCTGGGCTCCAGAAGGATGTGTGTGTTCATGGCGGACGGTGATTGCGGGCTCTTCTCGTTGAGAGCCCCCCTCCCCGGAGCAGTCTGGCCGGCATCTCTCGTAACCACGGGGGGACTAGCTCGACGTGGCAGATTCCGCGTACGCCGTCATCAATTTTTTTCTTCTCCACTTTGCCAACCGCGGCGAGCCCCTTCTTACCGAGTTGGTACTGTGGCCTCGTGGCCATTGCAGGAATAAATCTCGGGGTTCCTTAGCAACCATTATCGTGTGTACTCGCGCTCCGTGACTGCACATACGCGAGTGCGATATTAGCCGAGCCACATTGGGGTGAATTCCCAATATAGTTCCTCGTAAACATGTGCCGTTCTCATCTTGATGGAGCGAGGGAGGGAGACATTCATATGCAACATGTTCTTCCTATTTACATTTTCAGTTTTAACATTTAATTTTCACTTTTGTCCCCACACAACGTTGGCCTAGATTGCACCTTTGCGACGGCGTGGACGGTGATTTGAACAAGTCCCGATACACCCGACACGAATGTCAAGTTCAGAGGTCATATTGTCGCACGTGTACATACGTACGTGTAAATTGTGAGTGGGCTTCATCTGCTTTCTAATGTACGTGAAAAAGAGTTGATAAAAAAAAAATCCAAATTTATATTCAGCAGCATGAGAACCTCCCAGGTATACATTTTCATAGGTCAAGGTGTGTGGGTCAAACATTTTCTCACCCAATCTTGGTGTTACCTAAAATAAAAATACGGGTTTCAGATTGTTTTCAAACAAGCATAGGCTCAAATATGTATGTTAAATTTGAGCTAGCCCTTCTATAACATCATGAAAATCTATAGCACCAACTCATGCCCGTCTGTATACTACACGTATCGCACTGCAATGCAAAACATTGTCACGAACACTGTTGTAGAATGCAATGTGACTCGGATTTGCGTATCTAAATGCCACCGCCTCCCTACATATTTAGATGCTGTACAGAAACAGTGGGCTTCTTTATTTTACAGAGGGAGGCCATCGGTTATAGGCGGTAGAGGAAAGCCTTGAGAGTATGGACTTGAAAACAAGGGCAGGGAGTCTGACAGCGCGAACGGCGAGGTGGGATGGGTGGATGGGAATTTCAGACTGTGGGATCAACAGAGGAGAATCAGTGACCGCCAACTGCAACAACCGTGCTCCACGATTATGGAAATTCACACCAATTTCCCGGCCATTTGGCGTTGCAAAAAGACCCACGTGGCAGTCGCCAACCCGCGACCTTTGGCAAAAGGAGAAGCCGCCATTCAACGCGAAATCAGTGAGCCCACCGACTAGAATTCGAGCCTCAGGCTCGTGAAGAAATGGAAACAAAGCGCCAAGACGACGCGGAGGGGAGCGCTGGTTGTGTTTGGAGCCAGCGCCCGCGTCTCGCTTACTTTCTCGCTCGCATATCTCCGCGCGAGATGCCGGAGCGTCGTTTGGGAAGAGATCGCGGGAGAGTCGCAGTCGCTGTCGCGGCATGAGAGAGAGCAAGAGCGCGAGAGGCTGGGACGATCAGAGCGGAGCTCGTGGGTCACAGCGGTGGGGCACCCTTTGCGACACATCACACGCGCCCCGTGCTGCCAGCGTGGCTGACATTACCTCGCGTGTTTTTGATCCGGTGGGCTTTGATTCCTAAATGGATGTTTGATTAAACGTATCACGAGCCGTCCGGGGTTGTGTGGTTGGGTTTTTTTTATATATATATTTTTTCGGGGATCGTTTTATTTGGCTCGGTTTTTGTGTGTGTGTGTGTGTGACATGGAAGGGTTGAGCAACGTGTAACGCAACATTCTGTGGCACGTTCAACTAGTGGCATCATTTGTCGTGATGATGTTGCAGGTTCGTCGTGCGTAATTCTGTACACATCAAATCCCGAGCCACCGCCACCTCAGAAAAATACATCACACATACAAATATGGCTGATAACACACACGTCATAATAAAGACAAGTATTAGTTTGAACCCAATTATGTTGGTTACATTAAAATGTAGTTTAGACTAAATGTTTTAGTCTGAAATAGCAACAATCTGAGGGAGCTAGTAAAGAACACCGAGATTTATTTGTATTTATTTTTAGACCAGGTGAGAATTCAAGAGACCAGGATTAGTCTCATTTGCAAGTGACCTGGGACCAACCAAACCTACGGCGCTGTACTACAATTAAGCAAACAGAAATCAGGGCAAAAACTACCATGTTTACAAGAGACCCCCGCAAACAGCTAAATATTCACGACTAATTTGCATTCTTTGCCGAGGGTTTATATCGTGTGCCTGCATTAACAAGTGTTTCTGCTGCCTTGCCAAAACGGATTATTTTGCTCTCTGTGGCTAATCCAGCCAATCACATCACAGAAGGCTCCATGGCTTCCCGTTGCCCTGGTGACATGTAAATCTGGTGCTGGCCTTCACAGGAGAGAGGTAATTAAATAATTCAGTGTTGTGTTTTAAAATATTTATAGCCTTTTTGGCTGTAAAAATATTAATTGCATTAACACAACGTTCATTCTCAAGATACAATATGCAATGAAATGTTGTGAATCGACACCTCGCAATGCTAATTGTGTCACATTTGTACACGGACTTCACAGTTTTTGTTTATGAATATTACATTTGCAAGAATCGGTGAGAGATTGACCAAACATTGTGCGGAAAACAAGTCGACAATATGAACAGACGTACGGAAATACATTCCGGATTGTTATTTTTTTTATAGCGTAGGTTTTATTGTTCTCATATCACAGCATCGTAATGATTTGAATTATACACAAGTGGGGTTATTCATCCACGCTATGAATGACCGTTTTAAATGCAGACACGGTACAAAGAGAATATTTTTTTAAATATTTTTTTATTCTCTACAACATTCTCCACAACGACGCTGAATGATTATATATTTTTTTGCATAGTTATGGGTTGAACTAAGACCCATACCCATATCTAAGACATGGCACTTGTCCATAAACATCAGGCATTCCAGCAGCATTTGTACAAGCGAACCCAACTGCTGTTGAGACGCAGAAGTGCTTCTGTGGCCGTCTGGAATGATCTTCCTTCCGACATTAGGAAGCCACAGGAACTAGATAGAAAACTAATTTAATGAGAACTGCTTTGTGTTTAGTTGTCTTTCCCCCGCACCTTGGATTACCACGGTTGGCTATGTATGGTGCGAAAGAAGCTCAAAATACATACAAAACCAGTCCAGAGTTGTTTGCCTGTATTGAACAGATGCTGCTGATGAGATGCACGCCAAGAAGGCCATGCGGCAGATGCTTTGTGATAAAACACTTAGAAAGAGGCATTTAAAAAAAATCCAACACGATCTGGAAGCATTGTGAATGCTAAAACAAGAGGAAATATAAAAGCAACTGGCCTGGCATAGTACTCGAGTGATGGCACCGCGCTGACCATAAACGCCCCGGCCGCACGGGTTCACCACCTCGGAGAGGATCACCGCAGGACCGGCGAGGTCGCTCTTCTGGGTGTGGACACTCCACCGTGCCCCGGGACGGCCATGCAGCACGGCCTTTAGCCATATTTTTGCCTTGTATTTACGCAATCATACACTTTAACTCGTATTCATGGAGGGTTTTCAGGTTCTCTATCACGAAATACGGCCCAATAAAATGTGTATTATTAAAATTTATGACGCACAAGTTGTTATTGCGGTGTCCGATGCGGGCGCGTGTTCTTTTACGAGCGCGTGGAGAGAAGTTGGGAGGATGAAAAGCATATTCACACCACCGTGCACACAGCCTGCCACAGATGTTCATTGGCTGTGGCATTTCATTATACATCGCGGTATTATTTTAGTCAAAGCTTTCTATTATACAACCTCTTCCTAACTCCATTTTTTGAAAATGAAAAATGCAAGTCACTACTTCCCACGTTGGCTTTTTTTGCGGCAATAATAAAACAGTAATAATTTACGAGCCCTTTGCCAGTGCCCTACTGAATGAAGGCCTATCGCCACACCGCGTCGAGTCATGGTGGTCCTCTTGACCATACTGGTCGGTGCGCGTTGGCGAGGTGGGCGACAGAGCGGGGGCAGGACCAGTTCAAATGCCACTTCGCCACCCGATGTTACCCTTGGCTTGGAATTGAACCAAGTTAATCGGTTTCAGAGCGCAGTGCGCCAAAGACCCTACCACCACTCTCCCTTGGTAACAATACACCAAACTTGTGGAGCCTTAGAAATAATAACCAGAATTTATTCATTCCAATAATAATAATACGTTGCATAGATCAACAGACATAGTGTCTACCACTCGCTTTAGTTCTCTGCCCAGCGAAAAGTCTCTTGGCCAAACTTCCATCCTGTCCAATCTCGAGCTTTCTTCTTCATCTCACGGGCCGGTCCCGCTCTCACTTCAAGTCGCCAAGCAGCATCTTTCTCTTTGCCTCTTGGCCTTTCCCCAACATCCTCAACCTTTCCACAATTTCCTTCCGTGAAGCTTTCATCTCTGACGACGTGATCGCCAAACCACACATCTGGATTGTTAGACTTCCCTGCCGAACCTACCCCCAGAGCATCCTCATTTATCTTTCTCTCGATCCATTCACTTACTTCCGTTCGATGTCAAACCCACATCTCCAGACCTCACAGTGTTCTGCGCACGACTACTTTCGTTGAATGTCAACATAAGGCATTGGAGTTTTTGTGTCGTGGAAATTTTGTACAGTATTTATGTTGTGATATTTTTCGGCACACTCAAAAACAACACCAATTCTAAACATTTTCATGTTTTTCTCACTCTAAGTACATCCATGGAGAGCGTACTATTTTTAGTTTTGCCATTTCTCATTTGTTAACGCTTTATTGAAAATCACTTTTCACGACCGTGATTCATAACAATGGTATTATCGTTGCTTTTACACCACGCGTAAAGTGTGATTCACGGATGGCTCCTGACAGTCTGGATACCCTGCGACAGAGCCCGAGAGGGGGGGGGGGGGGCTTCTTCGTGAGCAAGGGCTCTCCTATCAAACGCCGTTAGGTTCTCCACGATATTCATCTAGAAGAATCTGACTACGAATATCAGCGAATGAAAACATCGCAAAACTTGTATATTTTTTAAGCACGACTGTTCGCTGGTGTAACGTATGCAGCAGCAGTCTATGCTTTGTTGTTTTGTTCAAACTCACATGGAAAGATTGCGGTTATCACTTCTATTTGACTTTTTTGAAGAATCTCTGCACCAAAACTTTTCCCTTTAAACCATACTGGCGGTGGGAGGATAGCCATCAGGCAATTGTCCCGGTCGTGGGAACTTTTAGCATTCCAGTTTTGACGTTACTATTATCATCAGATCTCAAGTACATACACCGTGACTTTCATCAATTACTTCGATCAGCCTAAGAGCAGCACTATATGTCCCCTGCTTGGTGTCAGAAGATCGAGCATCAGAATTCTGACATTGTTATCGTCATCATTGTCATCATATCCATCAGCAGAAATCATGTACATATACTTTACATTGTATCTGTCCATGATTCTGTACCTGCTCCCGTCCGCTAACAGCACAAGCTGTCAGCTTGTTAACGGAAGTGGTATCATCACCATCACCATCACTCCTACACTTCACAATTAGCCGACCGTGATTGTGCGCCTGTTCCCGTACGTCGAGCAGCAGGGCACGTGGTGGGGCTACACGGGGGTCGGCCCGTTGCTGTACATGAGTACGGGGCCCCAAGAGGAGGAAAAGCGCGAGTGGCTGCAGTCTCGCGGCGCCAGCCACAGCGGCAGCAGCAGGGCCAGCAGCAGCAGCCCGAGCAGGCAGCCCCAGAGCAGGACGCCCGCGCGCCACACGCGCCCGCCAAACGAACGCCGTCGCGCCGGCGCCGCCGAAGAGCCGAGCTTCGGCGAGACATCAGCCTCCGCCGGGGCGCTGTTGTTCTCACCCGCCGGATACCCGGGAGGCTCATGACGGGCACCAGGATCGTGAGCAACGTCCGTGCCGGCGGCGTACAATTCGTATTCCTCATCGCCGCCGCCGCGACGAAGAATACGAGTCTCGGGTGGCGACGGGCAAAAGGTGCGGTTCCCAATCACAGCGACGCCAGAGGAGGCGGCGTCTGCGCTTTCTCGAGCAAAAAAGTTACATTTGCCTACCTCCGCTGCCCCGTGCCAATTAGGGGATACGAGGGATTCAGACGAATGGCACGCCGTGAGACGAGATGAAGCCGCGGGAAGTCGGAGGCTTCGAGATCTCTGCTGTGTCCCGGCGCGGTGGTGGCGAGAGTGAACGTGTGTGGATGCCAGGTCCGTGATTGGTAGCTCGAGCGCCGTGCTGCCTGGAGGTGTGCCATTCGCCCTGCCAGTTCACCGACCCTGGCAGCCGAACACTGGGCAGGAAGAGAAGAAAAAACTAATTTCTTAGGAGGAAATTAGAATAAAAGCTATTTTTTTCAAGGACTTAAATTGTTATATTTGAACTTAATTGGTTTTTAATATAATTTTTCTTTGCACAAATGCAATTTTTTTCTGTTAAAATATTAAGTCACCGGATAATAATTTCTTTAAAAGAAAAACTAAATCTAAAAACTAAATCATCAAACATATATATATTGCAATACCCACGAGCACCGACGATTAAATGCAGCGGCAGTGATAAAATATTCTGCTGCCTTTAAGTAGTAACATTTTTATTAAATTGATTGTTTTTTGAATCAATTTGTGTGTTATTACACTGCTATTGTTTAATTCATGCGGTGATTGATGTCACTCCTAAATAAGTTATGAGACGTATTTAGCGGAGATTGCACCGGGGCGAAGATTGCACACATCTCCGCAGACAGAGGAGTGACTTCGTGATTTGTGATTCTCGCAAGAGACATTTCACATAAATCATTTCTCTTCCCTTTTCCATACAGGCTGATTCAGCAGCGATGTCACATGCATCCTCGGGGCGTACCAGGTCATCAATCACACCTTCCTATCAATACAGAACATCAATAAATCATGCCTCGACCCGCACACAGGCTGCCACGCCAGAGAGCCCGGTGCAGCTGCCACCAAGCACGCGATGCAGTGTGTAACCAAAAAGTCTCAAAGTTAAATATTGATTCAAGCATTTCCATTTTTTTTTTAGACGAAAAGTAAAATATATGTACGGTTTATCAAGCCTTTGGGAGGACATCTCAATTTGAACAATGTATATTTAATAACGCTTGTGTCATTAAATTCGCATTATTAGTGTTCCATATTTAATGTGAGTTCTATTACTCTTGCCTTTCATGTTCATGCGGATGTTATTAATATTACTCTTTACCTTTCCGTATGTGGTGGCATTGGCACCATATTCTGTTCATACAAGGAAAACAAAACACAAGGGGTGGGAAAAAAAATCAAAACCGGATGTAGACAATGGTAACACACACAATAATAATGCAACAGAATTACTCAACGCAAAAAAACGAACAAAAGGCAAAAATATCCCGTAGAGCCTTACCAAACCATAAACACAAGTGCTGTGAGCGAGCACCCATGTAGGCTGCCACAGTGCACAACGGGGTGGGTGTGACCAGAACCACGGCCATGCGCCTTTGTCTCCACAGTGTTGTTTACACATCGCACAAAGTATTCATTTAAGGTCAAGTGAACCCAGGAGAGGCCCAGAGCTGGTTCAGATGATCGGCACTGATGTCCGACATGGCCAGGTATCGAACTCAGGTCGCAGGGTTTGTAGCTCGGTGTGCTAACCACTTACACTGCTGCTCCACCCAATAAAATAGAAATGTCACGCACGCCCACACACTCACACACACAGCCTTTAATTTTGGTGGTGCCCTGCACACATGACGGGTGTTCATCATGACTGTGTTTGTTTTGCCTGCTTTCTGTCGTTGTTGTTGTTGTTTTGTACCGCGTGTTGTTGGACGGCACTAATGGCTGCCAGCTCCGGGGACGTTGTCTGCCACGTCTCCGCCTCACCACGAGCTGCCGCCGCGTGCCACCGCGACGCTCTCGCACTCCCGCACAGTTCGTCCTCCTCATTACTCGCATCCCCATCCCGCTCGGACGTGCGGCAGTCTCCACGGCTCAAGTGCGCGTTCGCCACTCTCTCCCCGGTTTCCACGAAGCAGCTCCTCACTTGGCATTTCTGCGCCGCGATATTTTCGCGCGCCACGTGACCTTTCATCGTGCTCGAGCGCGAATCTTCAGTTTGAATGGGCCCACAGCCGGGTGATATTCCGCAATTAATTTTTTCACCGGCGCCTTCAGTTGCGAGTTCAGAGGGGTTAAGGACCCTCCTTGTCAATGTGTCCTTTTCCACATTATGCGTTTCTCGGAAGCCGCGAGCGCCACCGGAAGTTTCACACACGGCACTCGGGTCGTAACGATCTGCATCTCTCCCGTCTTTGGAAGATCGCGATGCTTCCTTGTCGCCATGCAGCGGCCCGTGCTCCCACTGGTCGTCATCCTCCTCTTCCCAGGCACCGAAGTGCAGGTCACCAACCTCATCCAGGGCCCCGCGGGCGCAGCACGCGGCCGCCGTCCGGCCTCCGTCCATGCGCGTCGCGCTCGCTCTTCCACCGGTGCCGTGGCAAGGCATCCGATAGTCGGGCAGCGGTGGCGAAGGGCACCTCTCATCCTCGCAGCTGCCCAGCTCCCCGCAGTCGCTGTCGTGCGAGGAGAGCGACAGGTATGAGTAAAAGTCGCCCTTGCGGAGTCTCAGCGGCCTCTGCGAGTGCTCCAGTATCTTTTCGCGGATGAGGGCGGCGGACCCTGGCCCCGTCGGGCCCTCTCTGTCCTGACTCTCCACGTTGCGCAGAGCCGCCGAGGCCATGTCGATGATCTCCATCACGAAGTCGTGCACCAATTTATCTTCAACCTTGTGCGAGGCTGCATCACATTGATCCCCTGCCTCGTGGATCTCAGAGCTGCTGCTGCTGCTGCTGAGATGCGAATCTTCCCTGGCACAATTTAAGTTGGGAATGTCGACGGCGGTCGGGTGACTTAATTGACCTGTTGACATTTGCCTAGGGTTGCCCTTGTTACGTTCCGAGCGGTGCATGGTGGCAAGGTGCACGCCACTGCGGCCTGACCTCGGGGCCGCTGACGAGGGGGCGCCGTCACCGGCGCCGACTCCTTCATCCGTGAACAAGTTAAATGCTCCGGCGGCGCGAGAGTCAGCCGCTCCATCACTGCCTCGCAATTCAACGGTTGAGAAGGGCGATAGTGCTCCGTCTGTTTGGTTACAAGTCAAATCAAATAAACGATGAGCCGCTGAATTAAAATCGGCTTGGGGAGACGTGCGGCCGCTTGCTTCACGGCTCTGTTCACCAAACCCCGAGCCGCCAGCGCGCCCAGCCACGTCGTTACCGCGCTCATCCTCGCCCATTTGTCTGTCGGGTGCCGCGCGATTGCGGTTCATCTTTTCACTTTCTGTTGATGAATACCCTTGCTTTCTTTTCCTCCTCAAGGGAGGGCCTGCAGAGAGCCTTCCTTTTGTGTTATAGTGGCAGCTCGACGAGTTACCCTTTCTATTTTCGTCAAAACTCTGGATTTGTGGATCGTGCCGATAACAATCGCCCTCAACACTCGGCTGAGCGTCGTCACGTTTATGTGCCATTATCTCCATCTTGTTTGTTGCTTCCTCGCCTTCTTCAAAGCGCACAGGAGCCACGTCCTCCGATGCCGATTGCGCTGCCGAGACACTGCCGTTATTGCAGCTCGAGTTGATGCCACCGCACACCAGGCTGGGTTTGTCCGGAGGGAGGGTGTTTGCCCCCAGAGACGTGCAATGCTCTTCAGGTAAGGGAGACCGATCCTTATTAATTTCCACAGAATACGCGAGTGCTGTTAGGGGACTGGGCTGACCGCCATCTAAATCAATTGTCCTCTCGGTGGTTATTTCTGGACAAACGACGCCACTGTCAGCATCATTAGCGATCATTTCACTCAATCGCTGGCCACGGTGACCTCCTCCGCTGTCTGACCACCGCTGGTGCACTGGGTGGCCATCCGAGAAAGACAAAACAACGCTATCAATAACTGGAGCAGCAGACGTCTCTTTTCTCGCAGCGCATAATGGGCTCTGAATCTCCTGCAGTTTCTGAATCAGGCTCAGCGTCGTCAAACTCAACACCGCGTTCTGCTGCTGCTGCTGCTCAGGAGCAGTGGACACAAAAACGTCTCCGTTACCTCCAGCTACGGCCTGAAATTCGTCTTGTGTGGCGTGACGGCAGCCCTTCGTGTCAGAAACCTCCGGCCCGGTCGATGCGCTCGCCCCTACATGTCTTTCTTGTGCCGACACGCCAGTCGTCGTGAGCACGGCTCCGTCTGAATCTTCACAAGAGGCAGCAAGCGGGTCAAGTGGGCCCTCCTCCCGTGAAGCCAAGACTCCGCTCTCGCGCGCACTTTCATCGCCGGCGAGGAACCGGGCCGGGTTAGGGCCGCCGTCGCCCCCCAAGCGCCGTGGTGCCTCGACCAGGGCCGATGTTTTATTAATGCGCGGGGGGGCAAACCGCCGCACACATGAATTGTGGACTTCACCACTTATCGATATGGACCGCGTTCCACGGGGGCCTCTCTGTCCATCGGCGTATTCACGACCCTGGAGGATTGCATTAGCATCCTCCGCGAGCGCACTCCGCGTAGGTTTAGGCGAACGCTGCAAACTGCTGATGGATTCATTTTCGCTCTTTGCAGCGCACACCACGTCGGCCGTAAATCCGCAGTCATCCCATTTTCTCGTTTCCCCCGTGCTCGCACGAGGAGAAACCTCGCGGCCATCAGACGTATCCGATTGAGAGTTTGCGTGATTATTATTTGTATTATTACTGGTGGAGTTGTGGCTGTGTGTAGGCAGCTGGCAGCACGATCCACCATCCCTTTCTCCCGCGAGCTGAGCAAGCAGCTCTAAATGATTCATCGCGACACGGCGCGGGCCGTCGGTCACCGCGCCGTTCCCATGTTCGCCACGCGGGTCTCCGTCTGGTGGCGCGGTGTCCTGGGGCGGCGAGTGAAGGATCTGGGGACCCCGTCCCTCGCTGCCCGATCCGCGACACTCCGAGCGCCGTTCGGTTTCCGCTCCTTTTACCCCAGCGCTCGAACGTGCTGAATTTGCTGATATGGGGACTGGCTGCGTTCCAGTTCGGAGCCGCTCCTGTATCCCGCCGCCATGATGAATGAGGTCATTGGGCGCGTCGGTGACATCCCAGTCCATGACCTGATCTGGGATTAGCAGTGTTTCCACGCTCATCGAGTCCATGTCACCGACATCAACCTGCAACAAGGACGGAAAAGGCCGAGGCACTGCTGTTAGATTTTTTTAATTAAATAAGGCTTAATGCATTTGGGAAAACAAAATTAAACACGTGTATAGTGCTGCATTTTCATTTGCAGAATATATGTAATATTAATCAGAGTTGTTTCGTCGAAATTTGTTAGCACATAAATAACAATGAGAAAGCGCACACAATTAATTAAAATGCAGATGTGGAACGTGTCATTAATAATGTTTTGCATCTTCCACACTGCACGCAATTATAAATGTTTCTGTTTGGCGCACGCCTGCCACCAGCAAATTGATAACGTTTTCCATCCGAGCCAAATTATTCTAAAAGCTCTCACGCCACATTAAAGAGAAGTCAAAACAGAGCACAGCGCAGAGCTCGGAGTTCACGCTCGGCATGCGTGCGGCCGCGGTGCCCGCCTCTGTGTCTGCCGTGCGGGGCGGGGGGGTTGGGGAGATGCGAACACCAAAAGTAAAAGCATCACGCCAAGTACGAGAGCGTGGGACCACACGGAGAGAGAGAGTAGTCACGACACTCATCATCAACCAGACTTCGGCCCTAACCCTACCCCCACCCAGTGGGAAAAACACAATGGTTACTTGCACACGTTCTAACTTCATGAGCAGCACATGATGGTGTTTTGAAAACTACAGCGCTCTTCGCCTCAGTCAGCGCCACATCGATGCGTGTTTAAGCTGTTTATGCTAAGTTTATATCTATTAACATTTATATCTGTGAAACTACCGGTCGCCACTGCTCCTACCTCCCCTTGACAACCAACTGACGAACAGGCCCCGTCCCTAATGCCAACCCCAACTCTACCCCTCCCAAGCATTATCCCCACCCCTGACACATAACCCGGCCGCTGCTTCACGTGTGATAGATCCTTGTTTTCCCTTCTGCCGCTCCCGATAGAAATCGACGGCCTCGCACACGGCATCATTACCACCGCCATCATCTACCCACATTGCGGACTCGGTCTCGCAGACACCGACCGTGTCGTCTCATCCACCACCACACTGCAGATTACAACAATACACCCACCCATTCGCTCACCCACCCACCCACCCACTCATCCATTCACTCACCAACTCATCCACTCACCCACTCATCCATTCACTCAACAATTCACTCACCAACTCATCCACTCACTCACTCATCCATTCACTCAACAACCGCCATTCGCCACTAATTAGCGGTGACATCACCACGCCGCTTGTGCCAGGCTACGTGCACTTTAAGGCCACACCCACTTATTCTCTCATCACTGGCACTGCTCCACTCTGGAATTCCCTACGACGTCATCTCTCCTCCCAAGCTCTTAAAAACTGGCTCTATTCAAGAATACGCATCAACTCTTGGCTACTCTCCCCTCAATAGTGCCGTTTGTTGCTGGCGGCTTAGCATTGTCTTTAAACTTGTGCTCAAGATGACTTGACAAGAGATAACACATCTCACTCACCGCACACACCACGAGCTGGCGCCGCCACTGCTGCGCTTGGCTCACGATCGCGTCCCAGCGGCGGCTCAGGTTGACGGCGGCCGCCTGCAGGCCCTGCCGCTCGTCCGGGGACAGGGCCGGGCCCTGGCCGCTGAGGGCGGTGCGGCAACGCCCCAGCGCTGCCACCACCGCCGCCTTCCGCTGCCCGACCTCCTGGCACAACGCCTGGAAAGGGGCACGCACCAATCGTTTGTTTCAATTGTTGCTCGTTTGAGTATTTATTGGTTGACGGGGGGGAAAAAAACTGTGGCGAGGGGGTCAGCCTGCCCGAGAGATGCGAAACCTCGTTTGATATCCTATCTTGGAAATCGAGTATGGTCTGGCGCGAGTAGAACGCGTGTCGAGGAGGCTCCACACAACTGGCAAACGCTGGCGTGGAACGTTGCGCAATAAAACATTCAAATGGAGCAGATTTGAAGCAATTTTATGAATTATCATTACACGTGGACAGATCCATGCTTCTAGATTTGAATATTTCGTGATTGCAAGGATTCATACTCTTAGGTTTTTTCGGTAAAGTAACGTAGGTAAAATAATAACAAATAAATAATAAATAACAATAGAAGAAATAATGCTGTATCAGCAATTGTGCTGTGACGGTTCCACCTGAAGACGGAAGCTTGTGTTGCCTCCGAAACGTCGTGATTTATTATTTTATTTCTATTATTTCTTCTATTATTTTTTATTATGTATTTATTATTATTTATTTTTTACCTACGTGACTTTACCGAAAAAACCTAAGAGTATAGATCCATGCTTCATACGCAGTACGACTGATGTTGGGGTTGGGGGGCTGCTCACTTGATTTCGCGTCACAGTAAGGTTTAAATATTTAAAACCGATGCACACCGCTCCAAGTGAAACACGCACGCGCATGCACAGAGACCTTCCTCCCCACTCCGCCTGGTCCGGCGACAGGTGTGCGACGATAAGGTGTTTAATTTCACCGTATCACACAGCGGAAACAAGTCCGAGTGCAAAAGCTTAGGTTAACATTAATTCCCCAAGGGAGGTGGCTGAGCTCTGCGGGGAGCTGTGCTAAGTGGTCTGCAAATATACATACAGCCTCCGCAAAAAAATATATACTTAACTGTTTCCACAGCAACTCCCCCTCGCCAATTTTAAACGCCGAGTTGTGTTTGGCGTTCAAGAAAACGCGCACAGCCAAAACCACGTTGCCCCCCACCCCCCTGAGTCACCTGGCCTGGCAAGGGCCACGAGCAACGGGGATTTAAACCCAAACCCGGTGCCGCGCGCACGCCGGGCCGCTGTCGATGCGACGTTCCGCCGGCGTGAATTGAAATCGATTTAGCCCGGCGCATCGCGCGCCTACGAGCCTCGTTAGCATTCCGTGCGGTTTTTAGGCAGAAGTTATCTCCTGCGCGCGGCACCGCTGTATTGGCGAGGCCCGACACGGGAGCTTTGCCACCGCCAGCTCCTTGGCGCCGGAGGCTTCTTCCGTGGGTCATGCCAGACATCGGCGCCGTGACGTCGCCCCTCCCGAGTGAACCTTAACCCTCGTGGGTCGGTGGCAGGCCTCGGATATTCCATGTCGTGGATTGGCTGCAGCGGCGGGCAAGGCGAGGTTTTAGTTGCATTTCTCCCCCCCCCCCCCCCCACCGAAAAAGCATAAGTGTGCAGAAATAATAATTGAGAAATGTTATTTTTTTTTTATGGGACAAGGTAAACTGTAAAAAATTAATTTCCTTGCTCTACCAAAAATGTCATTGGATTTGCGCACATTCCTCATGTGTGCGCATGAATAATGGGAAACTAAAAATATTTCTTAAATATGCACAATTTCACACTTAACTAAGCAAAACTATTCCAATGACTTATTATGCAATTACACAGATTAATTTATTTCTAACACATGCAAACCATTGCCAATCTATTATATTACTTCTTGCATTTAAATTATTAGTTAAACAGACTTCACCAGTGAAGGGCCCTTAAGGTTACATCCGCTGTTCCCGGTACCACAACATGTTGAACAAATACTAATGTGATTTTTTTTTCAATTAGTTATTGCAGCTTTCGTTCCGTTAAATATTTTACGTTAACAGTCGTTCCGAGCAACCTCTCACAACCGGCTCGGCCATCAAAACCCGCGCGACCCATTCACGGTTAAAATAACGATCCATCTCACTCCGTCGGCGAGGCACGCACGCAGGCACGCACCAAGCCACTTAATCTTTTGAACCTGTGCCAATATTTTATCTAATTAACCAACAAAAGGGAAATAATTACAAGGCAGTATTTGCATGATCACCTTTTATGGGGCTCAAAATGGCCAATTGTGTGAGCTCGCGCTCACAGCCGCAGCCTAATGAACTACTGCGCGCTAATGAAGTTCGGGGTATCCGCGCTCATCGCCACGGCCGCTAACGAGCTTGCACCCTCGCGGGGAAACGATGACCACGCCGCAAACGCCTCGCTCGAGGCCCAGCTCCACGCCCACGGATGTTTGCTGCTCATGCGGGCATCGAGGCAGTAGGTGCTCACCTCGGGTTGACGGCCCTCGTGTCATGTATGCACGTTCATTAAAATGAATTCGTAAATTGTGTGCTGCCCGCGCGTTATTTTTATTTTTTGTCCGAGGTAAGTAAAAGTACAAATAAAAAAAACAATAAAATAAAATGTAACCGAAGCCCAGTCAGCCGAAACGTCAAATTCTTCCATCGCCTTTCATTAAAAATAGAACATTCTTCCCAATTGCTTTTTGATTAACTTATGTACGGTCGCTGGAGCAGCAACAGTGCATTATACGCACACACGCGGTGCACGCGTCTGCGTGTGCGCGTATATTTTTGAACGGGCGTGTGTATTTGCGTACACGTGGCTCCCTATGGACCTTTATACAAGCCGCCCCCCCCCCCCCCATACACAAGGGCACGTGTTGTTTTTTTGCGAGGCATAACGCCACGAACGCTGCATCTCATTTGCGGCAGTGCGGCCGAGGTGGTGGCGGAGGTGGCGGCGAGGGGTCGCGGGCCATTACAGTGGGGGCGTAAGCACACGCGTTCAAACCGCGTTACATAAAAATGACATAACAGTCGCAAACAGCGAGGGAGGAGGACTACTTGACCGTCGCATCAAAGTCATACGCGAGAAGCGCCGTGTCTCCTAAATGAAAACAACAGCCGCTTGAGCGACGGTGAATGCATTACTGCATTGCGTGAACCGACAATGGCTAACCCCTTCAGCGTCCCCTGCGCAAGCCGCAACAGACCCGTTGATGGAAGTCAGCGTGAAGCAAGTCCGGGTGACTGACAATCCAACGCTCACCAATCCACCGCAGCCGCTCACTCACCGGCGGCCGGTCGCCTCCCTTTTTATCGCTCCTTTATCGCGATTACCATGGTTACTTTTTTGCTGTGAAACTCACTCGTTGATTCCTCCACCCGAGTCGAGGACTCTGTCCATCAGACCCGACTGTTTCGTCTCACCCACACTTACGGTCGACGACACAACCACCCACGCACGCACGCACACATGCACGCACACACGCACCACACTGCAGCCCCCCCCCCATCTCTCTTTCTGCTTCTTCTCTTGCACTGCCCCCCCCTCCCCCCTTTGGAAATTCCCTCCCAACGTCTCTTTTCCCAAGTTGATATAAAATAAAACCTTGCTCAATTCAAGAAAAACGTATTCGCTCTCACATCTATGGCAGCACTGATAGCAGTGCCGTTTTTTTGCTGTCCGCTTGGCGTTCTGGGGGCCTTTGGGTTATGTTAATAACCCGGTGATCCGAGTTCAACCCAACCAAGGACGAGCGGTGGGGGACTCGTCAAGCACCATGAAATTCATGGCTGAGTGAACTAAGGAATTGTATTTCCTTTGCATTTGTTTCGTCTCGTTTGTACTTTTTAACATTTGTTCGGTCACAACCCCCCCTCCCCCGCTCCCCCCAATGCTCTGTCAGCCAAAGCGTAAGATTAGGACCGCTCCTATATTTTGGACGTGTTCAAGGATGTGGGTCATTGTCCGTATAATATCATGAAGTGGCATTTTTTTTGTTTACCCTGGCAGACTGTCGACTAATTAGGACTGTAATTCAGATGGCAATCACTCGTCTACTTTTCTTGCCAAAGAAGAAAGGCTCGTAAAATACCGTGGCGGCTGTCGTACTCGAGCGGAATTACACCACGCTGGGATGGTGAATTCATTTGAGTGTGCATGTCAAACACGTAGCTGTGCTACACAGTAGGGGGCACAGGTGGCACAGTAGGGGGCACAGGTGGTGCATTGGCCAAGCCATGGCACCTAGGTCTGTCCTGTGACCTCCCGCCAGCGGGCGTTCGACACTTAACGTGGCCTGATCATTCACGCAGTCTGGCACAAGCGCCATGGTGAATGACGGTTGTTGTTGTGTTAATAACCCGGTGATCCGAGTTCGACTCTCGCTCAGGGCCATAAGTCGACTTGGTCTGAAATGTGTATCTGCCGCGGTGTGTAAACATCGTCACTGGGAGACAAAGGCAGTCAGGCGTGGTGCTGGCCACCCACCTCCTCGTGTACCGTGCCAGCCTTCATAGGCGCTCGCTAACAGCCCTTACCCCCAACAGTCTGTTCAGGCTACAAAGGAAATGTCAAAATTATTTTGAAATTTTCGTCATTAAGTCACCCAAATCGTAGAACTTTCCATGAGCATATAATTGACATAACATTCTCATGAAAAATAAACCAGCTGTTCTCAGAAACGCCTCCACCCGACACAGACAATTAGTATGGTTTGTCACAAGAACAAAGCGTGCCAATTTGTGACGACATCAGCACAACGGTTGTGTTATAGAACAAACCCACAGCATTCACAAGTGAGTATGCCACTTTGCTGGTGATTACAACCAGAATTATTAGGCGATTGCCAGCACTGTGAAGATGTCTTTCCATTTTCTGGTCTTAAATGGAGTAAGGTTAGCACGGTTGGCCATGTACGTATGGTGCGAAATAAGTTCAACACGCATATATACCTACAAGGTGATTTCATCACTTTGCACCTGCAAGTGAGTAAGACCCAGGGGGATGGGGTGGGGGGGGGGTCCATGTTTTCAACCTAACCAAAATAAATATCAGTTGCAAAAGCAACGAATGTGCGTGTATCGTCGATGAATCGCGACAGCCCTGCCGCCCAGCCTCGTTCCACGTCAAGCGTAGCCGCACCGTGGCTCCAACATCGTACGTGCAGGAAGGTTCGCATGCTACCGAGGCTTGTCCTGCAATTCCAAATTTCTCTACGAACCACAACATTTAATAATCCACCAAGTCAATAGGAGCGACCTTGCAAACCAAGCCCGCAGGCACAGCCTTAATGAAACATTGAGGAACAGAAAGCCGTGGAAGGGGAAGAGAGGGGGCCCCATTTAGCTCATAAATCTCAACAGCAACGTGGATCAAAAAAGCTACGGCGCTGTGCTTTGTGCCGGCAACATGGATTATTGAGATGCCTGCAAGAGGACATCTGGCGGTGGTGTCGAGAGCGACGGCCTTCCATCGCCGGCCCGGCAAGCATTCTGCATGTGCACATGTACGCGGCACGTACGCGCCTGTAAGAAGAAACAGGGTCGAGACTGCTTTAATGCACAGCAAGGCTCGGTGAAAATAGATCTCATCTGCAGGTGGAATCCCGTTCCCACCGGAGATAAATCACAGTGGTGAGACAGGAATGCATCAAAACAATCCTGCGCACCGATATTCCGTATACAGTTATGGCAATAATAATTCCAGAAAACCAGAGAACCTGGAGAAAAACCCATGCAGAACAGGGGGAGAGACTCGACACAGACGCCAGAGTCAGGAATGGAACCCAGGTGCTTCTTGTTGTGAGGCACTGTACCATCCTGGTCGTGCTACAGTATTCAGAGACACCACCGTGATACCACCGCTGCTGCACGGCTCTCCGGCGAGTTTGGCCCGCGCTGTGTGTTGTTTGGCATGATGCCCGACGTTTCGTTCCAGCATCTGGGAGCTTCTGAAGCAAACTGAAATTTCAGATCCTTGAAACGGTGTACGAACAGCACGTGGAGAGAAACGTCGTGCAAAACAACACGCGGTGCAGCCTAAAACACGCCGGCGATATTCGCAAAGACGTCACGTGACGCTCGATGTCAGTGCAGTTGGGTGCAGTTCGGCCTGGGTCACAAGGTCATACACGAGATCGAACCGTGAGGAGCGCGATGCCCCAAAGCAGCACGTGCGAGATGAGCTCGCCCACGCCTATAGCATGTATCTAATTTACAGTGACATGAGAAAAATGTGGCGTTGTATCTCAAATTCCCTCTGGCCGCACATGGAGTTTGATTGAATTTTTTCTTCTTCTGCCGGACTCATGTTATGTAGCATCCCCAGCAAAAAACACACACACACACACACGGAGCACTGAACTTAATACGCGCAATTGACATTTTATGGGCTCAAGGGTGCGAGCAGTTAGTAACATTTAATTGAACCGAGTTCATAAATTGTCCCAACGTGGCAGCAATTAGCCCCGTGTCCTCTCCATCCCAAAAAAAAATCCTAACGAAGCACCCGGAGCCAAAGGTAATAGATGGTGCGCAATTACAAGCACTGATTGTTGTAATCATTAAAGCTATTTTTAAAAATAAATGACAAACTCCCATCCTCGGCGCCATTACGTGCTGCGCAGCGGCGGTGTTTGTTCACTCGCACGGCCACGGCAATGCGGCACGTGACATTTCCACGCAAGCGAGCGACAAAGACGATGACGAAGGCGACAACGACGGTGTTTCGGATGACGCGGCAGGCAGACCAAGCCATCGCCACACGCTCCCAATATCCAGCGCACCACCAGCCGTGCCGTTGTACCTTGAAGGCATCAAGCCGTTTCGTCGGAAGGTCTCGGCTCGCCGGGGCCTGCAGGAGGCACGAGTTAAAGATGAAGAGCTCCGTCTCCCGGAGCCAGGCCCTCAGCTCCCGGATCTCGTCCTGCAGCGGCGGAGGAGGCGGCGGCGGCGGTGCGGGCCGAGGCCCTGGGGGGACTCCGCCCCCCTCGCCCTCTGCTGCTCCGCGTCGCCCCAGCCGTGCCTGGGAGACAGACAAGCCGACTTTATCCGTCAGCGGAGAGGCTCCCCGAGGAAGCTTTCATTGACCCCTCTTGTAGTGCCGAGACGTGAGCGGCCTGAGCGATCTCTTTCCCTTTTTTTTTCTTTACTTACCAGGGCCAACAAATTCATATTCCGTGTTACTCATGTTACACGCGACTTGAAAAAAAAAAATCACTCGATTTTATTCACCGTGATTTGTATACCCAAGATCAAATGCCCCGCAAAGTTTTTCAAATGTACAATTTTTTTTCCAAGATACAAAAAAAAGGTAATGTAGTCACCACCGGAAAAATATCATCCTCAAAATTACCCTTTGAAATTAATATCACTCCAAATGCCGCGGTTAATACCAAGCACAATTACATTCCACTCCAGTTTGACTTTTAATCACGCTCGGCGTGCCAGCATTGGTGAATGAGCTCGGTGCCCAAACTATTCCGCTGGACCTTTGTTCGTGGCTGGGAGTGTGTGGACGCTTGTGCCCGCAGAAGGGTTGATTTTTCAATTTGTGCATGGCGAGAACCACCGGGCACAGAGGGAATAAAATGTCACGGGCTATTCGATTTGCCCGCATCTTATCCAGCACAGCAGCTACCGCTGTGAAAATACTGCATTTGGCTGTCAGCGCTGCAGATTGCCCGATCCCGGGGAAAACAAAGCTCCCCCTCGCAAGGTGCAGATCTCAGCCCGAAAAGCTGCCGAGAAGTCGGCGGTAATTGAATTCGCTGCCTCAAAGGCGATTCCTGTCCCCGACACAAAAAACGCACAACCCTTTTATTAAGGACCTGTCTGTACAAATATTGCTGCAACAAAGAGGAGCGCGGTTCTTATTGTGAACGCGATCGGTCGACTCCTCGCCGCTCTGAGTTTCTTAATCAAAGAGCGCGCAGGCAGGATTCCCGCACCCGGTATCAGATCTCCGGGGCCGAGGCATTCCCGCGGTATCGTGCCGGGCGGGCCACGCTGAGCTACGGCGCACTGTATCCCGGGCCTGCAACTACTGGCCGCAAATCACGACGGTCGGCACGCGTGAGACGAATAGCCAAGGGTGGGATTTTCAAATGTCGACCGCTCATTTTTTTTGCCCGCAGACGCCGAGGCTCTTCTGTTGTAGCCGTCCTTGCCGCCGCTGTGTTATTCAATGTTGTGTCCGGGATGAGTCATATTTCCATCCCCCAAAGGCCGCTGGGTTTGGCTGATCAGCTGAACATTGCCATTAACCCTTGGCCACCTGCCTTGCGGACTTGCATGGGGGTGTAATCCCAGAGAAGGGGTGTGAGCGGCGCTGGGATTACGATGGCTCCCTGCCGCTGGGCTTCTCTCGTCGTTTTTTTGTGTCGACGCCGTGTAATGTGCGGCCCTGCGATGACCGTGCGGCAGCGATTAAAATCAAACCCGTCGTCGTCTCCGTGTCCAGAGATCTCTCAGTTTCCTCGCCGCAGCCACCAACATTCTCAAGGCCCCTCTTTGTCGCGCACGTTTAATAGATTGCTCGGAAATAAACCCAGCCGCGTTCGAGCAAATGTTCTCTACGTGTCAGCAATATCAAGCCGACAGGTATGATTCACGCTCAGATCACCTGTAGAAAAATATACCTCCGAATTGATTCCATGACGCGCAATTGTGGCGCCGTGTGTGTGTATACGTGCGCTTAGATCCGCGTGAAAAATGACCGAGGCTCAGATTTAATTTTCCAGAGTCACATACGGGATCTCACCGCAAAACGCCCGCCGCTCCGGAAACGCAGCAGAGGTCCATTATAACGACGTTATGATGAACTCCGCATAGATGTGTCACAGTGCCTTGTTTATAATACAATTAAAGCTCCTAATTAATTGCCTCCAATTTGAAATTCAAAATAATTCATTTAGCGGGAACCATGCTCAGGGTTAGTCGAAACGGGGCCACGCTGCGTGGTGACGACGGACGGCAGAGTGCAAGCTCTCCCCGGGCGCCGTCGGCTCGACGCCGGGCGCCGTCGCAGGGAACAAAAAGGGCGCGAGGCCGAGAGCAAAGGGGGGCGACCCGGCACGGGGGGACGCGGCACACGAACGCGCATCGCTGATGAGCGCCGAAAAAAAAAAACCCCCACCAACAACGGGCGGCAGCCTGGTCGTTATATAAATAAATAACATCTCACTCCCTCGGTCCGAGCCGCTGGCTCACGGGCGGAATGCTGGGACTCTTAGTGCGCCCGCTCGCCAGCTCCCAGGTGAGCGGGCACCGTCACCGCATTCGGCACGAATTATGTTTGCGTGGTGTTCTGGTAGGGTGGGGGGGAGGAGAGGGGAGCCCAGATTGTGTACGAAATTCCTTTTTGACAGCTTAATTTGGCGCACGCCCATTGTAATTTAAATTCCTTCTGCCAACGCGCGCATGGAGGACCGTTAGAAACCTGCATTATGAGATTATGCCATAAGTGGAATGAGAGCCCAAGTAAATGAATTTGAAAAATTCAATTCCGCCCGTATCTGCAAACAGCGCTGGCGCACGTGTGCACTGGCGGCGTGCGTGGAAGTTTTACCTGGACAGAGTTTCTTTTTCTCCCCCCCCCACCCCGCTATCCGCGCGCGCGCGCGCGCCTTAGACGCGACGCGGCAAATCCTCAGCGGTTCCAATGGTGATCCTCAGACTTCTCAGTTGAAATCCACATTCATTCAAACACTTGCGGCCCAAAATAGGACATTAAGTGATTGCTATCAAACCTGTTAATTCCGATTTCAAATTAACTTTAATTCAATGTTAGTGCGTTAGTGCTTTGTTTTAGCTCAATAACTGTTAGACTTGACTTTTTAGATCACGACAAAGTTTGATGACCCCTCTGAGCCAGTTTCCATGTGCCTGGAACATCTGCTCCCCATGTAAAGGTGCAGAGGAGCACCTTCATTCAAGGATTCAGCCGATCACATGCGGTGGGGAGTGGGGGTGGGGGTGGTGGTGGTGTCAGCTGGTGCACCGAGATATGAACCCATCGACCCAACTTCGATTCTCCGTCACGGCTCACACGAGTGGCAAGGAATATCTAAACCAGTCCTGGCTCACTCACCCTTTCTTAACCAACCTGCAATGTCCAGCTTGGTGAAGTATGATCAAACAACCCCAGGCCAGTTATGGAATCGGGAGGCCTTCATTCAGCAGTGGATTCATGAAAAGGGGAGTGAATAGTCATTATTATTATTACTATTAATTGACCACTTTTTCACCGGCACATCCGAGCCAAACCAGTGCCGGGGCTCTCCCCCTAGTATGGGTGGTTTTCCGTGACCTCAAACAATGTCCGAATCTGGTTCAGGGCCACGCAGGGCCAGGGCTGACGACGCATCCATGATGCGTGACAACAGCGGAACGCCGCGAGAGCACAGAGTCACCGTGCCATCGACGGCGCGGCTCGTTGCGCGTGACTTCAGTGCCAAGGTTTGGCTCCTGCGGCGGAAAAACGAATTCGCCGCCTCGCGAGAAGTGCCACGCCGGCCCGGCGCGGCTCGGCCGTACGGTGGAAAGAGTAATCGTCGGCCCAGAAACGTAGCGCCGGCCACGACAGCCTCGTTAGCGTTGGCGCACCTCCAGCCAGTCCCACTCCCCGGCCAGCACCAGCAGCCTCGCCTCCACGAGCGGCCCCAGCGAGGGCAGCCGCTGCAGCAGAGTGGCCGCCCGCTCCGACAGCTCGCGCCTCCCGCGCTGCCACAGCCTCATCTCTCGCGAACATTTCTACGGGGGCAGTGGGCGGCGGAGGGGGGGGGGGGACAGCGGCATCGGGGGGGATCAGCGTCGCCTTCACCTCTCCCTGCGCGCGCCCCCGCACCCCCGTTGTTTCTATCGCGGTGCCGGCATTGTTGACCGCCCGGCCGCTCCAGGTCGATGAATGCATCGTGCATCTCTCCGCCCGCCCGACACGAGTCCACCCACGAGGGTATTGACGCGCACGTCGCACACGATCCGGTGAGTGATGGGAATACGCTTTGTACCGATGTCGTATGATTACGGAGCGGGGGTGAAAAAAAATGTTAAGCATTTCATTGACAGTTCTGGATCAATGCCAATATGAATGCATTATGTAAGGAAATAGATTCTCGGCAAAGCATTGACATTACGGCATGCCACTTTCATGACCTATGGGAGAGCCACGTGTCCGTGCATGATGAATGGGTGACATTTCTTGCACAACGCCAGATGCATTTTTTGGATGCTTTGTGTTTGCATTTGGATAAATAAAGATGCTGTGCTTTTTCGCCCCCTTCTGTCAATAAACACCACAAAGTGTGGGGGGGGGGGAGAAATCCGTCTGTTTTTATCGTACGTGTTATTTCTTTTCACACTCGCTCACCTCCCAATTTGTAAGTAAGTGAAAGCTCCACTATTTATCATGCATTTTATTTGCACGGACGGTGTGGGGGGGGGGGGGTGCATTAGCATATTTCATGGCTCATGCCAGTAAGAGAAATTATTCACAATAACAATGAAAATTCAAATGAAATGCCGAGGGAAGGTGGTGGCGTGGGGCATTCAAATTGATACAAATTGCGCCAGGTGCATCGCACCATGACTGTGGCTGTGATAATTGGGGAGGCGGCCTCGAGCCGGATAGCGGACGCCGTGCCAGCGCTGGAGGGAGGGCTTCATAAGGAGGATGGGGGGGGGGGGTTATGAGGTCACCGTGCGGTGGGGAGGGTTTCGGTGGCGGTAATCAGATTCCAGGTCCTGCCACGTGGCCGCGCGTCGCTCCGAGTCGCCGGCATTGGGGGATGGGGGCTCCCGGCACGTACCCGAGAATCCCGCCCAAGTGGCGGAGGTCCCGTCGATGACAGATGGATGCAGGTTTGCTTTTATTGCAGGATATAGAGCACGTGAGCAGGTATTTCATTAGTTTCGTGAAATGTGTTTGTTCAGCGTGAAACTTTACTGGCGCGGCAGGGCCGACCGCGTCCCCGAGTCTTCGCCACCGACGCTCCGCTCGAGCATCGGGGCACCAAGCAAGGGCTC